ATTATGATTATTGGTGTGTGTGTGTGTGTGTGTGTGTGTGTGTGTGTGTGTGTGTGTGTGTGTGCATGTAGAGGCCAAATGTCAACATTGGATGTGTGCCTCTTTCACTCTCTGTTTTTTGAGACAGTGTTTCTCACTGAACTTGGAGCTCCCTTGGAAAAGCTTCCATCTTTACCTCTTCCACTTCCCCAGCACTGGAATTACAGCAGTGTCTTCTGTCTGCCTAGCCTTTACATGGGTGGACCAGATCCAACTCAAGGTCTCTTGCCTGAGCAGCAAGCACCTTAGCAACTGAGCCAGTTCCTAAGACCCACCACTAAAACTACCTAAAAGCCATACTGCCCTCCTCTCTAAGAAGCTGCCCTCCCAAACTGTCAAGGAACTTTCTAGAATCACTGCTCCACCTTCCTATATAAGGATCTCACTGCAACCTATCCATGTTTAAGACTCAGACTCAGTTGTCCTTTTACTCTTACTCTAAAAGACATTTTATAGCTGATGAATCTGAGGCCCCATACATTCTTCGTTCATCTCCAAATTTTAGAGCTGGAAGAAAACAAAATATTTTACTGGAGGTCAATAAGTGAGTATTGAATAGCTATTTATGAAATCATCTTATCCAGTCCCTTCATTTTACAAGAGGCAAAAGGTTGATTGATTTGCAAAAGCTCATGTATGCAAAGATGGGTCATGAAAATCCATCCCTAAGCTAGGATTCTTTCAGTCTAGACATGTTAGTCATTTCTACCTTGAAACAGTTTTTAATTATTTATTATTTTGGACACTCACCAAAGGTCTTAAATGAACCTTATCATATGCATTCCTTTTTAAAAATTATTTTTTAGGAACTTCACACATTTATACAGTGGGTTTTGATCATATCAATTTCCATTCCCTTCCAGCTCCTCCAGGTCCCCTCTCCCCTGCCCTACCAACTCCACGTCCTCTTTTCAATACTCTCAAGTTTGTTCAGGGCTGGACATATGTAGGTGACTGTAGAGCATCCAATGGAGCGTTAGCAACCTAGGAAGGCCACTTCTCAGTAAAGCGTCAAACTTCCCATACCCCAGCAGCCTTCAAACCCCAAAGTTCCTAAGCTGTGGGAAGGGTTTGTGAGGCAGCCCTCCATGTATGCTGGAATTTTAACTGGCTTGATCTTTGTTTTTCATAATGAGCTAAAATCTTACAAAGAAGAAATCTGTGTCTGTACTGCAGCTAAGACATTCAACCTTATTATTCTTATGTGTGTATATGTTGTATAACAACAGACAGAATGGAACCTAGGCTAAGGGATGTTTGAACAGCTCTCCTAACATGCTTTTAATAACAGAATGGAAAACCTTCTAGAGTCAGGAGATTTGTTTACCTATTCTTCTCTCAAGATTAACCAGAAGCAGAAAATGACCAATACTGACATACAGGTATTAAAATGAAGAAAACAAATTTTCCAAATTTTCATTACATGAAAGTACAAAGTGAGCTGATAGTATATTAAAATGATTAATATATTAATATATTAATGTGGAAGAGGGCACATTAAACTTGATAAAAAGATTAATTATATATGTGTGTGTAAAAATATATACATATATATACATGTATCCATGCCATGCCACTTCAGTATTAGTTTGCTAATCCCTAATTTTGTATCTCTGCTCCTCTTCAAAATTTCCCCTATATCATATCATAAAATGTCTCATATTTTTAGTAACAAAAGTACTTAAAGAAGTTTCTCAAATGTCTAGGCACCACCACCACCGCAGGAAAAAAAAAGGGGGAGACTAAGCAGGTTACTCTGAGACTGAAAGCTGAATCATCTCACTTGTAGTTTTTTCAGACTATGGTAACATAGCCACCATCAGTTTGAAACAGCACACCACTCCCTGTCTCTTCCTTTTCCAGAAACTGGACCCACTGAAAGCTAAAAAGTTAGAAAAATTCCAAATCTTCAAAGGTAGTGAAGGTAAAAAGAACATTTTTCGTTCTTTGCCTCTGGCCAAGAAGACTGTATTCCTGCTGGCACAGGGCTACCTACCTGGGACTATTTGACAATTTGAGCACCATTAGAGGCTGAGAAAGCATTCTATTTCCCAGGAAGAGAGATGTTATGCTTCCAGCTGATAGTCTGAGAAAAGCATAGGTCTTGAGTGGAGGAAAAAAGTGCACTGCAGGGGCATTTAACAAGCTAGTCTAGTCCTCTCGTCCTTTACCACACAGTGAATGTCAATAGAGCAACACAAGACATTAATAAGCTCAGTGAGTCTCAAGATACCCAGACTCTGTGAAACTGGATGAACCAGTGCTTAGCAGGATTTTAGTGACCTACAGTTCAACCTCAACACAGGACAGTCCACAGTCAGACTAGGGTTTTCAGACCACCACTGTGCCTGCCCAAAATGGGAAAGCAAAATTACCTGGGACAGCTCCATGTTGTCCCTGGGCAAAAGACCCCCTCCTTGTTTTCTATGCAACTGATATATTGGTGTGCATAGTGTGATCGGGAACTTTGAAAGCACCATGTGTTGAATCAATAAATTCATCTACAACTTCAAAAAGATAGTACTATGGAACAGCTAGCCAAGAAAATAATAGACACCAGAAGCAGCTTCAAATTGAGTCAATTACTGTAATTATATAGGGGACTTTAAAAATTATCTGTTCATGATCATAGAGAAGATTAGTAACCAAAGATAAGTTTTTAAAATGTTTAACTTGCTTTTGTGTGTGCATGTGTCACAGCACATGTATGTAGAGGTCAGAAGGCAATTTTCAAGTGCTGCTTTTCTTTTTCCACCATATGGAAGTTGTGGTTCAAACATAGATCATGTTTGGCAGCAAAGACTTTCATACAAATGTGGTAATATCCCACTTATAATCGTAATGTCAGAAAAGTCCCAATGGGTGTGCTGGTACAAAAAAAATATGTTAGAAATATATTAATATCTTGAACAGAAAATTAAACACAAACAACTTCAATAAGAATAAAGTCAGTGATAATCCAACCATCAAAATTAAACACCTT